GCTCAGCTTTCCTCTTTAGCCTCACTTCTCTCGACCCCAAGGTCATAGTCTACCCTCCATCCACCCTGGACAACACACTGTTATTGAACATGACCCTCTTCCCAACCTATCTCTGACTCTACTTTCATCTGGCATATAAGCCAGCTTGCCAGCAGGAAACAAAGAAGAGACTTTCATGTAGGAGCCACTAACTGAATGTTAGACAGGTTTACGGGAACAAGAAAAATGGTGGCAAAGAAAAGAATAGTGAGATGCTCAGAAACTAGCAAGAAGGGAAGTTCTTATCCCCCTAGGGCCAAATAGTCTGGGGCTAGCAGAAAACCAGAAGCCTGAATACCAGGGAAGGGGCCGCCAGGCAGGAGCTATAGTCAGGAAAAGAAACAACTGATAGAGATATGATATCACAGCCAGCGACAGAGATGTGTTATCATAGCAGGGAGAGAGCAGGGAGATACGCCCCACTGCTCTCTCCATCAGCCCTCTAATTTCCTCTTGGTACGTCCCATTGACCAAGACAAACCAGAAGCCAGAGGGCAAGGAAGCACCAGTGCCACATTCAGCGGCTGTCATTTACTGGGCACAGAGCAGCAGGCCAGACAAGGACAGGGAGGAGACAGGGAAGGGGAAGCCAAGGAGAGATAACCTTCCCTCCTGCCTAATTCTGGTGTATCCTCCAGGTCTCAGCTTACATGTTACTTTATCTAGAAAGTGAGAGTAAGAGACTTCTCTCTATGCTTGAATTGCTTCCAGTGTTCACCTCAAGATAACACATTTCATACTTGATTAAAATTACTTACCAGCTGGCACCATATCTTGTTTAGTATTATTTAACCAGGGACAAACAGTCTTGCACATAATAACCATTCAAAAATATTTGCATAATCACCATTTCCAAAGCCTTCATGATATTTGTTCTAGGAGATGGACTATAATTTATTTAGCCTTTCTCCTATTGCATTTTTTAAAAAAAATTTAAGTGCGTCTTGTTCATTATTTCAGTGTTAGTATTTGTTCTCTGGTGAGTTGTAAACTCTTTGAGGGCAGGAGCTATGTAAATACACATCTCTCTGGTTTTCTCTGCTGCCAGTGTGCACACACACAAACACACAGGCACACATGCACACAAACACACACATGTATAGACATACACACATACACATGCAGACACATGACCAGACAAGCTTTGGTAGACGTGGAATCAGAAACCATCTAATGTGGTCCGGTGTCTCCGATTTTCCCCAAGTGTCTCTATGTTCTCCTTAGTGCTCCCATGCCAACACCTCACTGTTCACATGCAAAAAGGTCCTTCCTCTTACTTCACAGAGAAAACAGAATTTGCTAGATCATAAGTCCCAAAGCCTCATGCCATCAAGCCAACAAAAATTACTATAGCCCCACCCAGCATCTCTGTCCTCTTTCTGAATCCGTCCTTATGATTGACCTACTCCCCTTGCTAACTCACTTCCTTTGACTAGACCACACTAATCCTTATTTAATGAGCTAGTCCAGGGAATTTGGTGAAAGAAGGATTAAAGGAACAAGTTTTTAGGCCTGGCTTCCTGCTGCTGCTCCTCCACTGACTCCCTGAGAGACGAGACCCTGGACAACTACTGCCCCTCTCAGTAGTCCCCCTTCTATTATATGTCACATGAATCCTATGGTCCTGGTCAGCTCTTTCCAGAGGTTAAAGGCTGTACTGAAAGACTACCTTGTGCATATGTAAACTGGGTGTTTTCATCATCATGTTTGCTCTCTTCACCTTCAGTTTCCTCACCTCCAAATTGTTATCATTAAACCTAGTTCACATTTTGTTGGGATTAAATAAATTCAGATGGTAAACTAGCTGTTCAGTAATACTAGTGGTGAGGTGGTCATCGACACTGTGGATATAGTAAGATGGCTGGGTGAGGCTATTGTGAGGATGGACATGGTAAATAACAAGATAAGGAAAGGGGCTGAGAAAGGGAGGAAGAAATCAGGGGAGGGAAGGAACGAAGGAAAGAATAAAGGGCAGAAATGGGCAGAGGGAGGAGTTCGGGAGGAGAGTTTATAGATACAGGGGAAAAATATAATTTCAGACAATGTTTCCCAATTAGAGGGGCCACTCTCCAATTTAGCTTCCTAAACTGTGAGGTGGTGTGACTTTAGCAGTTAGTAAAAAGGTAAATTATAAATAGGCATGTGAGTGGCTCAGCATGAGGGCTGAAAGTTGCAGACAGCTTTTGGCAGAGGTAATAATGAAGTGAATCCCATTAGTGATGGAAAGGCAATTAAGAAAAACCTCAATGAAACTCCAGATCTGAGCATTCAGCGGAAAGATGGGGATCTTAGAGGAAAAAAAGGTTAAGCACCTGGAGGCTGTTTATAGTGACTTTAATTAGATAGAAAATGAATTGTTTTGCTCTTTTTTCCCTCTCTTTAAGTTTGCTTTTCAGGTAACAGAGCATCTGTAATAACAGTGAGGTGTACTTGANTCCCTCTCTTTTGCTTTTCAGGTAACAGAGCATCTGTAATAACAGTGAGGTGTACTTGACAGTTGCAGGTAGCATGTGTAGGAGGTGTTAGAGAATCTCAGTGATTTCATGATAGCGTTATGCTCCTACAAGAACTTAAGGATNACAGTTGCAGGTATCATGTGTAGGAGGTGTTAGAGAATCTCAGTGATTTCATGATAGCGTTATGCTCCTACAAGAACTTAAGGATTCCAGCCATTTCAGTCACCAAGGCCCAGTGGACAGACTGTGCAATTTGTTAATGAGAAGAATCTTTGTGTGACTTGACCATACTATAAGGCACTTACTCTCCAGCAAGACTCAGGCTAAACATTGCCTTCAACCTCTCTTATATGTGGAC